TTTGGGGAAACGAGCTCCCTGCCGAACAGCAGCACCGCGGGGCGGCGCCGGGAACCGTGGGAAGGCTGCTGAGACAGATCTCTGCGTGGTTCGTGGCCTGACCACAGAGCGATTCCACTCAGAACCCACGCATGCACATCGCAATTTTTCGTCTTACTACCCCCCTCCCCCCACCAATTTTATGCTTCTGATTTTGACAAAAAAAAAAAAGGCAGAACGAAAACCCGGCACCTGTTTTCCGGATGTACTTGCACGGTGCACGTCTGTTTTGAACTTGTCAGCATCGACCCATGTGGCAAATTAGCCGTTGTGAAGTTTTTGGGGGAAAATCTGTATTTTTACTAATGGCTACCCTGTATGTTTTATCACAATTTTACTGCGTTTTATTATTTTTCCAATGTATTTTTACCGTGATTGCACTGGTTTTTACTGCTCTTTACTGTGATTTCAACGTGATTTTACTGGCGCTACTGCACTTTACATTAACCCCAATTTCACTGTGCGTTACTGTACTTTACCAGTTAAAAACATCTAAACTGTTAAAAGACACATGTGCTCACATATTGAGAGCATAAGAATATGAGACAGGTTACAAATGACCTTCGTCCACTCGACTGATGTAATTGGTTGCTTGTCTTATTTTCCACATTAACTGTCCTCAGAGCCTTGATTCACTTGAAACATTTGGCAATATTGTAATATTTCAAAATATTAAATTATTGAATTAAGCTCAGTTGTAGTTACCTCTTTTCCAAACCTAACAGATGTTTTGGCTAAACTTTACATTGCTCCTTAATATTATTGACATTATTACTAATGATACCTGTATTAACTGCGGAGCACGTATTAGATCAATAATGCCTGTGCTGCTGCACACACTACACATACATTATGTGACTTGATATTTTAATATCTACACTGCTTGACAGGCTTGAGCATTTAATTCTCTCCTTAGAAAAGACAGAACAACAGATTGCACATCTTATGAAGAATTGAAGATTCTTATCTGGGGTGGTGAGCTTACAAAACTGAAGTACACAAACACACGAGACAGATTCCATTATGGCCTTATCAAAGAGCCATCGCTTCTTCATCAAAGTGATGTTTAGTTGACGAGTCTGATAAATTAAGGTTCAGTGTGTAATTAAGATTAAAAATCAGCTTTTGAAGTTCAATCGTGACAATAATTGTAAGCAATTGAACAAGTTTGAATTTAGACGATTTTATTAGTGATAATAATTACAGTTTATCAGTTCTGATTGGTTAAGGAGTTAAGGTCAATAAAGTTATTCAGATTCACTGCAGTGAATTAGCACCTGACAATCAGCTTAAATTAAAAACCCTACAATACAACACCCTGGTTGCATAAGTGCGCCCCCCCCAAACAAATACTTTGTGGAAGCACCTTTTGCATGTATTACAGCAGTAGGTCTTTGTGAATTAGTCTCTATCAACTTTCCACACTATTTTTTTCCCCCACACTTGGACAATTTTATCCCACTCATCTTTGCAAAAATGTTCAAGCTCCTTCAAATTGCCAGGGGACCTGCTGTGCACAGCTCTCTTTAGAGCACGGAAGAGGAATTTCACTGTCAACATGATAACGATACATGCTTTCTGGAAAAGCTCCTTTTCAATTCTAGAGTCAAATCACATCTATCCTGTCTTTGGCCAGAGCATCCTGCTTGACCCTGCATTCTGTCCTATTAAAGACTTCAGTAAAGGTCTCTCAATGCACATCCACATTTTTACTCCAGTCATGTACCAGAACTTAACATATTATATTACTAAACTGGAAAGATAAAAAAAGATTTCCTTTCACAATGGACCTGAAGAATGCCTGAAAACCTTGAGAAAAGTTTTTTTTAATCAAATATCTACACTTCAGGATATTTGGATGGCATTAAATTCATTATTTTAATTTGGGTGGGATGTATGCCTGATCATTATTACTATTTTCTTTCTGACCCTGACTAAATTGGCTCCCTATTCCTCTTTATGCTAATTTTGGCCTTGTCTTATTGTACACTTGGTCTATTCTAGCTTCTTCTGCTATGCGGGATTTGCATTGCCTGTTTTTATACGCATGTTGTTGACTTGATGTTTTGCGTGGTTTAAACGTAGGTTTTGTGTATTACATGTGCAAGAGTGGCCTGGAGCAGGCCAGGCCAGGCCAGGCTGCCTCACCCCTGCCCTATATTCTGTTCAGTCTCCCAACAGTGGTAATGATCTGATTTCATGAATGAGCTCTCATAGTGAGAGGCAGCCGTGACAGCACAGTTAAGTTTCGAGTTCCTCAGAAGAGCTTGTGGTTGACTTGCCTGTCAAGGAAAGGCCAAAAAAGAAAAAGAAACGCAGGAAAGACAGAATAAAAAGTGCCGTCATCAAAGCACGAGTGAGCCCCCCCCACGCTGTGGTGAGGGCAGCTGGGTGAGAACAGGGAGCTGCCCTTGCTCCCCATCCCTTCCTTTCCCCACCACATCCTGATCCCCCCCCCCTCTCCGAGACACGGCTCAGCCCGAGACACCTGCTGCTCGCGACTCCCCTCTCCGCCCGGACAGAGCGGCTCACTCAGTCTCAGCAGCGCTGTTTCAGCCAGTTGACTCCTTTCAGGCAGAGGCTGCCAAAGAGGAACTTATATTTACAGAAAGATTCAACTATTAGTACAGAGTCAGAGATTCAAGCATGTAGCTTTAAGACACAGTTAAGTGAGAGCTATTTTGTATCGCACCAGCATTCAGATTTGAAGCAGAAAATGACTTCTCGAGTGCGTCACGCTGAGAAATTACACAGACACACACATACAGGGATAATATCAGGTGCTGTCTCGCATCTTCTCAAAAAGACGCGTCCTCTTTTGTTCTCTGCTTCAGCAAATGACTTAGAGGTGATTTTTTTTTAGAAAAATGGAAAAACGTCAAACCAAAAAAAAAAACACTGAGACTTTTCTTCCGATGGTGAGAAAGAAAAAAACGTGACACACTTTCCTTCTCTTGCGGTGAAGCTCAGCCTGTGCCGAGCTCCACCACGTATCTGATGCAATCTCTAATCAGAGGGCAAGACAGAGAGTTACAGGGGGAAAGGGGAAGAGAGCTTTGTGATTAAGCCTTTCCCCACCTGCTTTTGAAAACACACCATGTCGTTTTCATGATCCTTAATGATCAGTGTTCTACATTTTTAGTATCTTTTACAAAGACACAAAGCACCTCCCTTTTAAAAGCAACTAACAGCCATTAAATCTGAACTAGATTTAGGATTCAGCTACACTTATCTCTCTCTGGGGATAGCACTTTTTCCAATCACTACAGCACGTTTTTATTCACAACTTCTATTCCAATTCTGTCATTCTGTCAAGTTGACCTTCAGATGATACTGCAAGAAAGAGTCAACTACTGCATACATATAGGATTAAATCGCCTAAGTTCCGGGTTCTGCCGTTCCTGCCACTGAGAGAGTCTATTTACTTGACTGGAGCAGCAGTGTGTGTGTGTGTGTGTGTGTGTGTGTGTGTGGGGGGGGGGGGGGGGGTTCTAATATTTTGGCCTCTGGGTGTAGGAGACCCCAGTGAGGCACTGAGTCAGTAGGAGTAAAGTGAGTGAGGCCAACGTGTCCTGAATCATCGCTCTGCAGTGGCCGCTTGTGCGAGAGGTGACACAATCTGGGAGAGTGCTGGTAGGAGGGAGGGGGGAGGGGGCTTCCCACTTTCATTGGGGGAAAGCACACAGTGACAAACCCCCCCCAGGTGCGCTGAGCAGGACATACCCTGCCAAAGCACAAAGGTTTCATTTCCCCGTCGAGGCTGTGACACTGCAACGCAGCTCAGCGATGAAAACGCGTGTAGGCTCATAACCTTTGCCAGGTTTTCTGAACACTGACAATTGAGTGTTTTACGAGCAATGCTATTTTCTTCCAACCCAATAATGACTGATTTCTGAAAATTTGTGATCTCTAGTGATTTTGTGTTTCTAGTCCAAGTTAAATTTTTGTTCACGATTAATGCAGGTTTCTTTTTCACGATTAAATCTGATCCTTCTTCCACCCCGATTTATAGTGATTGTTTATCCCCAATCAAGAGCCATATTGATATTTATCCTTTTTCCTCTTCAAATTGTGACCTTAAAAAGTAAATATATCCACTGGCTGAGTTTTCAAAGCTTTTGTATTCAGTTACATTTTCTCCATTTTGCAAAACACTCTCTTGGAATGAAAAATTAAATATGAATTTTACACTTCATAAATAAGCTTTGAAAGTCACTCTGCTACTGTAGTTTCTTGTAAAGGTGTGAGTTGAGCAAGTTCTTCAAATTTCAAGAGCTTACAACTGAGTCATGTCCTAATCGTTCGTTAGCGGCTCATCTGAATAGTTTTTGTTGTTTTTCTGAAACCTAACGATTGCTTGATGTACTTTCTATATTACTCGTCTGCTATGTATTTTTTTACTATCGTCCTATTGTGACACACGCCTTCGCAAAGTGCTTTGAGATGACAATCACTATTGACGAGACACTGATGTGGGTGCTGCTGTATCTGGGGACAGGGGCGCCCCGACCTTGGTCAGGGGGAGCTCCAATAGAACACGTCACTCCTCAAACACTCAACTGCAAAACACCTTTGTTCTGACCACTGCATCTGGTTGCTGTCTAATCAAACGATTTTTAGATGATCTAAAATAAAAATATCAGCTTCCTCCACTCCCTTTAAAAGACCACAAGCAGTCATTACCTGAGTTAACCGAATCAGTTAACTTACTAAATTGTTCAGGATTCACACATTTTCCAAGTCAAAATTTAAACGCGTACGAGGTTCAGGTGTAAAAGAGAGCTGCTGGGCAGTAGCTCTCCAGGCTGGGACTGGGCTGGCTACCCCTGATCTAGAGGAAATGTGTTTGACCCATCATGCACCATGTATGTCTTTAGCACAGAAAGTGGTACCAGTAGGTTCCCCTGGGAACTCCGCTTGCTGGATTCAGTTTCCTCAGACCACGACAGCACAGAACTTACTTGTGAAGTACAGGAGATAATGCCTTTGAATTGCAGATATTTTTTCTTAGATATCTTGGTCATCTCATTCCTTACGTGACTCCCCCTCAAACAGCAAACCTGTTGAAATATGAAAAGAAATGGTACTCAATTTCCTTACAGTTAAGTTCAAGTGAGCTAGTGTAAAGGAAAGTAAAGGAGTGTAAAGGAACCTTTGTGTTTATTCAGTGCTAAGATGTCCAAGGGGTGGCAGATTTAAACAGCTACCTTGTGTCATATATAGTATGAGTTCATCCCCTATTGAATGTCAACTACAACTATATATTAGATGCGTGAAAATTTAGAAAAACCTACCAAAGCTGGTACTTGAAAACCTGTGAAGTTTAACACACATTATTTGTGAGACTTGAAAATACTGTCCGATTTTGAAAGTTGACCTCCTGCTGGAATGTGTCCAGGGACTGACTTGGACACTAGGTGCCTTCACAGTGTTTCCTGTGTTGCTGGTAGGGACAAAGCACAGCACTGTAAACTACAGTGCTAAAACTGTGACAATTCATAAAGAGATATAGTAATGTCATGCCTTGTGTGTCCAATCACAAGGAAACCATGACAAAGCAAGTGTTCAGTTAAATAAACACGATGCACTTGGAACAGCACTGCGCAATGTTCAGGTGGGTGTATGGATCTACTGGCAACCGGAAAGGCTGTTTTGCATATTACTGGATTGCACCCCCAGCCTACCCCGGTGCCCTGCTGAAAAACCAACAGCCCAGCCTGCTTCCGAGAAGCCCTGTCAAGCTACAGTGCAATGGAGCGCATCACCACAGGGGCACCAGATCACTGACTCAGTGTCACTCGAGAGCAACAGAGAAGTCGTTTAAAAAGACGGTTAATGTGTCGTTAATTTCTCCTGTTAATTGTGCGCACTTTGTGTGCCTCAGTAGTGACATTCTCAACATGTTTGGTAGTGATCCATATTTAACATTAGCTGTTTGTTTTCATGCCATTCATTTATCACTGCGATTGACACTCTCACCTCCAGCTCAACTCAACCTGATCAATATTACATATCGATCGGATAAGACCTACTAAATTAGGGCAAATCATTATTTAACAGAGGGCTATTAAGAAATTCCATTGTTAGTAAGTGAGAAAAAAACAAGATAACAAAAAAGGTTAGCTTTTACAAAGTACAGGTTATATATATTACAGTAAAATGTGTTAACTGAAATTCATTTGGAGGTTAAGCTTAACTATCCATTTAGAAAAGGTTACATGCTCATTTTGTGACTTCTCCTTTTTTAGTTTTGGGACAATCTCCTCTGTGTTAGTAATTGTGGGGTCATAAGTTCAGCAAACCAAGTGGAATAGCCAGGCTTCAAAAAGACAGATGTGCAACAACGAGGTGTGAAATGACAAGGTATGGCATTACTGTGTGGAGTGTCCATGTGAGAAACGACCAGGAGTGAAGCAGACAGATGTAGAAGAGCCAGGTGTCGAGTGGACAGATGTGGAATGGACAGGTGTGAAATGATTAGGTGTGTTTGTTTGTGGAGAGCTGCAGAATAGTGCAGTGTTAACTTCACTAACCTCTACACAGACTGCTCTCTACAAACAGGCCGGGCACACATGCGGACGCATTTCTAAAAAAGATTCTCCATCTCACCTTCTTATTCCACATCCATTAAATCACTGAGTGGCTTAAACCTAAAGAAATGAAAGATCAGAGGTTAGGTACAAAATAACTCAAAGAACACAAACTGAGAAACTTTTTTGTAAATTGAAGACCACACAGAGAATACAAACTTGATGAAGATCAGTAATGATATTGCCACATGGTTATTTTCAATGTTGCTAAGCTGCTAACTGCAACGATGGCCTGAAACTGTACCTTCACTGGAGCAATTCACTGGAAAGCTCACTGCCGCATGTATAATGTCACATTAGTAAAAGCAGTAGCTGAGGAAGTGATGATCGCCATTATTATCGAAAACGAAAACGTTACAAACATAACTAGCTATTTGGTTGAAAATGGAACACTTTTCAGCATGTCACATGTTTAAATTTTAATCGGCTTCACGTAAAAGGGTATGATTCACAGCAAGGCATGACTGTGTGGTGCTACAATGCAGAACAATTAGGCCTTCGTGATGTCAGAATTCTCACTGTAACAAGGTACACCATTGAAAGCCCATGACCATGACATCCTACACCTATCGCCAATTATAACGAGTGCGGGAACAATGGAAAGCACAGTAGTTGTTACTATGAGATTTATTTTAACTAAGCCAAAATGGTATGATACAGATCCTAATCTATTAAGTGCTGATAACATCTTTTTGATTAACCAGAATGCTGCAATTTTAAAAGTAAACATGACTCATTTAGGTCCAAGGTTGGTTGTTTTCTGTAGTACGGTTATAGTAGTTGGGTTTAATATTTCGCAGCTTTACTGTAAGACAGGAAACAGACAGGAAAATCTAGGCTAAATCTTTTTTCTAACTTTAATATTACAACTGAATTTCCCTTACAAGAAGCACACAAGAGCTCCTGGTGACAAGCTGTGCTTCCTTACAGAGTGATGATGGGGAGTGTGTGGAGCAAACTGCCCAGCTGTGTGGAAAAGCAGCTCTCTGGAATCTTCTGAAAAAGCTGGATGAGATTCTGGAGTCACTGACCTAAATGACGCCTCAGGAAACAAGATGGGCTTCAACTTTGGAGCCTCTATGAAGTTTGTGGTCACATTTGCCCTTGTCTTGCGTTCAGCTCTGATCTCACCTCCTCCTTCTCCTGGGGACAACACCATGTGTTCTGTGTCTTATTTCTGACTCTTCTGGCTTACACCCTTGTCAGTTACTGCAATATCAAAAGACTGAGAGGAAGCACCTCTCTTGGTGGAGAGTGGATTAGTGTAATACCATCTCAACTCTGAGCACAGCATTTTGCTCCCATCCAGAAATCACTAACTCTGTGCAGGTATCTGGTACATAACTGTAATGTGAACAAGTCAAGGGCGGGTTTGGTAAGAATGATCCCCAGCCCTAAACGCAACTGCACTCTTAAGAGACTTGAGATGAAGAGAGGAAAGACTGTTTCATCTAAAGATGTGTATGCACAAAAAAAAAACACGACAATCTTGTTTACAAATTCTGGAATTTGCTCAGTATGTCAGTAAAATCAAAACTGCGAGGTTTTGACAACCCTATGTTTTGTGCCAGAAAGCACAAAGGAGCACACAGGAGTGGGACAAGATGGGCAGTTCTGCACACCTTGGACTCCTAAATCCTGTGCCAATCCGGTCTGCTAAATGCAATTATCCTGAACAGCTGAGCCTTACTGGCAGGACGTACTCCCGGTAAGTCCATCTTGTGCTGTTTACTATGCGGCACAAATGGTGCAGCTGTCTTCAGGTCAGACCACCAGCCATACCTGCACGCACTAGCTGTCTGGATGCTGTTTGGAGGTTACACTTATTTAGGGCAGTACCTCTCTCGGAGGCTGGAGCGGGTGTGAGCAGGGGGTGGGGGCTCTGGGTTTCGCAGTGTGGTTTACCCCCAAGCTGTAACCCTGATCTAAAAAAGAACCCCTTGCAATACCACAGAGGAAGGTCACGGTCACCGTTTGTCATACAGCCTCTTGCCTAACCACACCTGTCTCCATCTGGCTCTCACGCCCTGCTGCGCCGCGCGGAGCTGAGCCGAGCAGGCGGCGCGCCAATGTGCTCTTCTTCACCGCTGTGGGGAGATGTGAGAAACTGCCACTTTCTACAGCTCAGGTGGAAGGCAGAAGGGCATTTGTGTTTTTTCTTCCTCAATTTCAGAGCTTACCGAAAGCTATAAAACGGACACTTGGTCCCCAGCCTAGTTGCATACATGAACTGCTCCTCAGTGGGGAGAGAAAATGTTTCAGACCGGCTCTCCCAAATCCAGGTTCTTTGAAGTTGAATCTGATTTCTGCCTCCTGACCTGGCTGGTGAAAGTTTTACAGGTGAATACAGGTGATCTGGGAAGGAGGGTTTTAAAGGGGCTGAATGGCCTCCCCTCACCTGTAACTGACCCCCCCATCCCCAACTGTATCCATCTGTCCACCCATTTTCTAACGGCTTGACCTAAATCGGTTGCGGTGGAGGTGCAGCTTAACCTGGCATACAATGAGAACAAGGCAGGGTACAGCCTGGCCAGGACACCAGTCCATCAC